ATTTGTGGCTATTTTCTATCTCTTTTCTGAGTACACAGACAACCATCTGCTGTGAACGACCATCATCATATCCCATAAGTGGGGATTATACCACTATATGCAATATAAACTAGAGCTGGTCATAGCTTTTTTACATGTGAGTGCAATATCATTATTATTTACGTGTTGTCTGTCAAGCCCTGACATATTGTACTGTTGGGTTGCTTTGTCTTCTTTTTATCCACATACGGAGACTGAAGACACTCAGACCTTCCCCCAAGTATAAAGAACTCCGAAACCACAGCTTTGTTTACTTTTTAATTAGAGACACCTTCGTATGTGACAATTTGCACTGTTGGAACGAGAAAGGAGCACGAAGGGGCAGCAAGAAGCAGAAAGTGGCAGAAAGGGGATACAATAAGCAGGAAGGTGCTGCAAGGAGTGGGAAGGGTCAGCAAGAAACAGGAACGGGCAGGAAGGGTCTGCAAGGAATGCAATAAGCAGGAAGGAGCTGTAATTAGCTGCAAGGAGCAGGATGGGGCAGCAAGGAGCAGGATGGGGCAGCAAAGAGCAGGATGGGGCAGCAAAGAGCAGGATGGAACAGCAAGAAGCAGGAAGGGACAGAAGGAGCACAACGGTAAAGGAGGAGAAGGTGCAGAACATGAAGCAAGGAGCAGAAAGGGACAAAAGGAGTGCAAAGGTAAAAGAGCAGAAAGAATCAGAAGGAGCACAAAAGTAAAGTAGGAGAATGAGTAGAAAGGGTCAGCATGGAGCTGGAAAGGGCAGCAAGGAGCAGGAAGGGACAGAAGGAGCACAAAGGTAATGGAGCAGAAAGATTCAGAAGGAGCACAAAGGTAACGTAGGAGAAGGAACAGAAACAAACAGGAAGGGCCAGCAATGAGCAGAAAGGGTCAGCAAGGAGCAGAAGGAGCACAGAGGTAAAGGAGTGAAAAGAATCAAAAGGAGAACAAAGGTAAAGCAGGAGAAGGAACAGAAAGAAATAGAAACAAACAGGAAGGTGCAGCAAGAAGCAGGAATGGGCAGCAAGAAGCAGGAATGGGCAGCAAGAAGCAGGAATGGGCAGCAAGAAGCAGAAAGGGTCTGCAAGGAGCAAAAATGGGCAGAAAGGGACAGAAGGAGCACAAAGGTAAAGGAGCAGAAATTATCAGAAGGTGCACAAAGGTAAAGTAGTAGAAGGAGCAGAAAGGGCCAGCAATGAAAAGGGGCAGCAAGGAGCTGGAAGGGGCAGAAGGAGTGCAAAGGTAAAGTAGGAGAGAGAGCAGAAATGAATATAAAAGAACAGGAAGGGTCACTAAGGAGCAAGAAGCGTATGCAAGGAGCAGAAAGGGACAGAAGGAACAGGAAGGTAAAGGAGCAGAAATAATTAGAAGGAGCACAAAGGTAAAGTTGGAGAAGGGGCAGCAAGGAGCAGGAAGGTAAAGTAGGAGAAGGAGCAGGAAGGAGAAGGGACAGCAAGGAGCAGAAAGGGACAGCAAGGTGCTGGAGGGGGCAGCAAGGAGCACAAAGGTAAAGAAGAAGAAGGAGCAGAAAGTGTCTACAAGGAACAGAAAGAGATCAGAAAAAGAAAGGTGATAAAGGAGCAGAAGAAACCAAGGAGGAGAGAAGACAGTGTCAAATGAAGAAGAAGAAAAGGAGATTGGAGCAACAAGGACAAGTGAAGTAATCCCTCCACTTCATTCTGGATACCACATTGTAAGACTTTGGTTCAACTTTGGACCTTCTCATATCCCAAGGTATTCAAAATATCAGTGGTAATGTGTTCACTTTTATTTACTGAGTGTCAGGAAGGAAGAAAGTGTCATCATAGCATTTTCATATAGATTAAGTTGTTACGGTGACCAGAATGTTCTTTTAATTTGACACCATAGTTGTGAAAACGCTATTCACCTGGCTTTATATGATAATGACTCTGTCAAAAAGGGGCCAAGCATGGATGTCATTACAATTATGCGCCCCCCACCCCAAAAATAAAAGTTGTGCTCCTCTGTATAAAAATAATCTTAACATATGTATTAAACGTTAACTTCCTATATATGATCCTACAATTTTACTGCAATATATATTAAATGTTAAAGCTAAAGTACATTCACATTTACAATAAAAAGAAATCACTAAACCATATAATCAAAGGCTGTTTCATATGTCTCTTTAGGTAAGGGTATAGATTAAACATACAGAGAGCAGTAATATGTATGCATAGTGGAAATAAAGAATTCAAGTAAATCTTTTATGCAGTCTTGCAGACGACATTGTGAACAGGTGTTTTGACAACATAATCAATAGTCTAGACTAGTATTATATCTAGATTCCATAAGAATTCCATAGTCATATAAAGGGATAAAACTAAATGAAAATATAGCTTATATAATGTTGCGTAGCACATGGATTCAGAAACGCACTGTGTAAACACATTTCTTAATGTTTCAACTTTCTTGATCTTGCACTTAAGATAACCCCTCTGTTGGATGCCTGCTGCGGAATTGAGACTGTAATTTCCTGTTGTTCAATATCAAAAAGTTAGTAGCTCTTCCTGAACCTGATAAAAACAGCTGTTCTTTTATAGTTTCAAATATTCAAGCAGATTTGCAGGAGGAAATCGTAACTGCACAAGAACTGTGTGGAGAATCACAAGGCACCTATGTTTATTGAAGGACATATTTTGAATTATTTTTCTACTTATTTTTTAACTATAGCAGCAATAAAATAACCTTGTAACATATAGGGACTAGAGAAAAAAACATAATTAGTAACAATATGCAAATTAACTCATGTAGGTGAAATAATGTATCTATTTTTAACAAATATGCAAAGCCAGAAAAAAATAGATTTATTACATGTGTCGATCCATATTTTTGCTATTATATGTGCCTTTTTTCCTTTGAAAACTAGTGTATCAGTTTCCCCTTTACTGGGATCCTGTTTTCTGGAATACTGTACAGTGCCCCAGTTTTTGTGAAATAATGGCCCAAATATTTGACAAAAAAATGTGGGATGGTACACATAGACTCATAATAATTTACTATACGATTTAGTGAGCTATAGTGGCTCTGGTGTTCAAAGTGTTTCTTTAAGTCACTGTCTACCGATTTAAACATGGATGTGTACATGGCAGCATCCACAGTGCGTAAGCTATGTGTGTCATTGTCATTAGTAAATATTGTAGAAATGTCCCAGTGTTTACAAACTCTACAAGTTTAAAACTGCATCAATAGCCAACATGTCCAGTTAATTTGAGACACAGCGGAATACAAGCACACTCTATACCCACCTTTAAACATGCACATTAGCCACCTGCACTCACACACACAATACCCCTGTACACAAACACTGTACATCTATGAACATACTACACCCAAGAAACACAGACTGTACCCCTATACACAAATGATATGCACTAACTATATCCCTATACACACGCTACACCTTTACACACATTATACCCCTATACACACACTAAACTACCTATACCCAGATTACAGCACCTAGAAACACATGTGCACTACAACCTCTATACGCATACACACACTACACCCTATATGCACTCACTAAACCCCTATACACGCACTACACCTCCTTTTCACACATTATATTTCTATACACATACTAAACTCCCTATACACAGATTGCAGCACCTAAAAATACATGTGCACTACAACCTCTATATGCATATGCACACTACACCCTATATGCACTCACTAAACCCCTATACACACACTACACCTCCTTTACACACATTATACCCCTATACACTCACTAAACCCCCTATACACAGATTGCAGCACCTATAGACACACCATCTCCACATGCTTACACACTTCAGCTTCTACATACACACAATGCAACCCCCTTCAGCCCCTAGATAGCCACACCCAGCACAACTCCTGAAACAACACCCCCTAGGCATGCACACTGTGCAGGCCCTAAACACACACACACACATACACTTCACATCCCAGAAACACACACACTACAGCCCCTAGCCACACATAGTAAACCACAAACAGACACCTCTACACACATGCAATCCCGGAAGCAACCTCCAAACACATACACCACGGGGAGCGAACCCACACATGTACATCACACTTTAACAGTACTGTTCTGCTCTTGTACTCTGATATTGGGGACACCAGAGACAAGTCAGGGGCATTACACTAACATATTATATTTTAGTGGGCATGCTTGTCATTGTTGATGACATAATATGCCCTCTGGCCCCAGCCCCTCTTAGTAGATTGCTCTACCTTTAACTGCCGGGGTCTATTTTTTGTCTTAGCCTGATCCTGTATCTTACCTAATTTATTATGATAAAAAAGAGAAACCAACAAGGGGGAGTGGCTAGCCAGCAACCTGAATGGCAGTCACTTGAGTGAGCTCTAGGGACATTTGGTGTAAAATAGAAAAACATTGCTTAAAAAACAACATCTCTGTGGTGAAATGTATATGTACAAGTTCCTGAGACCACCCTGATTATGCAGAAACAAAGAAAATCTGGGTCTGGTAGTATTTCTGGAAAACCTTACTGAATTTACTGAACAATTTAAAGCTATGCAGACAATATTAAAATCTGCAAACACAAAACTTTATGATTTGGAAGACAGGAGCAGGAGGAATAACATATGTATCAGAAGTATTCCAGATACTACCCAACCAACTGAATTGGAAGATTATTTGAAGGCAGTAATTAAATCAGTTAAAACCCATTTACTGATGCAGATCTTCAAATTGACCGTATCCACAGATTACCTAAACCTGCTTCTGCACCCAAGGAGGTACCTAAAGACACAATTGCAAGACTTCACTATTTCAAAATTAAGGAAGACTTCTTAGCAGCTTTATGATCAGCGGGGTTGCCTTCAGAATATAGCCATATTAAAGTATTTCAAGATCTTTCTCCTGTTACCATGAAAAGACATAGAGAATTTGGGCAATTTACCTCAGAATTACATTGCAAAAATATACGCTATCACTGGGGGTTTCCAGTAAAGCTTATGTTCAGGATGGATGGTCGTAATTATGTAGTGGCTACTCCCGAGAAAGGAATGGAGGTGCTGAGCGCTTTATCTGTTACAAATCAAACTACACCAGAAAAGTTGACTAGCCGGACACCACCAACACCACAGCCGCCACAGAGGAAGATGAGGAGGATGGACGTGATGCAGTAATGAAACTTAGAAGGACTAGTTCTGTTAACACATTTTTTGATGGATTTTTACATTTCTTTTTTCCTTTTCTTTAATCATTTTCTTTTAAATCCTTTTAAAAATGATCTCTCTTTTTTTCTTCCTCTTTATTTTTGCTACTTCAGTTATTTTTACCATTATTAATTATTTTTCACTTCTTTTTTTCTGCATATTTAATAAGCACTTTTATTTTGACTTGTTTTATTTAATGTTTCATTGTGCCTCAATGTCCCTTCTCACGTTTGTCCCTAATAGGCCTGTATAATTCTTAAGATGGGATATTTTCTACATCCCCTCTTAAGCCCTAACTGTTTGTATATATTTAAATTTTTCTTCTTCATTTTTTTTATTTGCATTTTTTATTTTATTTATAATTATTATTTTTTTGTCCCTCATGGGACCTTTGCTCCAAGTTTTTGTCCCTTGATTTTTCTTATGTTTTTTTTATGTTATTGGACATTTAGACATTTACATTAGCTGGACTATATTTATGAAAAATATTGGTCTATTAAGACACGTTGTTTCAGTTTATTTACCGGTACATTTCCATTTAAGGTCAGGTGGGTCATATATGTTATGTGTTTTCTGACCAGCATTAGTCTCTTGATTTTACTGAAATGCGTAAAATACGATTTTGCTAATCCTATTTTATACTTCTGAAGTTATTTTTATACAGGAAACTTTTTTTTCAAAAAAGTCAATACACCAAATTCATGTCTAAAGAGTTTCCAACAAAATTTCATTCTTTATATATATCCAAATTTAGAGGGGTTTCTATAGTTCCATTAAAAAAATTATCCTGTAAAACAGAGAAAGTTATTGATGATTCTGGTGGTCCTTTGGAATCTGGCAAGGAACAATTGGTGGTGTGGAATACACATTGGCAAATGTATATTTCCCTAACTCTGGGCAATATCATTACCTGAGAAAAATTATCACCCGTATCTTTAAGAACTTCAAGGGTAGATTGATTATTGGATGGGATATGAATTTCGTGTGTGGATTGTGAACAGGATATAATTCGAGAAACTAAAAGATCCTCAAAAATTACATTAGTGGACAATTGGCTAATTGATGCTCCAAATTTCTTTTTTCACAGAGCTTATTCAACATTTGGCGGATCCAACATTAAGGAGAGAGAGATTACACCTACCACTCAACCACTTGTAACATGTATTCTCAAATAGACAGGTTCTTGACAGGTGAGCAAACAATACCTTCTGTCGCAGCATTTGACATTTTAAATGTTAACTGGTCAGACCATGCCCCCATTACGTTACATTTAGAAGAGACCTTTCAGTCATCTCCGGAACGTTCATAGAGACTTAGTGATTACCTGGTTAATGGTAAAAGCAAGAAAAAATGAGGGGATGGGTCTGCGCCAATGTGTACAATGAGTATTGAGTCCAATAGGATCTATGTTATCGTGTCCAAAGTTCTACTTTTGGAAGTATCCAGAAGGTATCGATGTTGTGAGGAGTAATCCAAATATGTAAAAATAGAAGAGATCTTACTTACAATTTGCAGAGCTTAATCCAGCTCTGGTGTGGATAGCTTGCAGCGGTATTATCCCCGCTTACAGGATATACGGCAGGTGTCCTCTTCTTTGTAGTAACAGTGGCCAAAGTTGGGAAAAAATAAAATAAAAACAGTAATGGTGCAGTATGTTCTACACGTATATAAAAAAAATATATAAAATATGATAGATACACTCACATTCGGTAGAGCTTTGACTAGCTCTAGTTGGTTAGGCGTACAGCGGTATCATCCCCGCTTATAGGATATATGATGAGTGATCTTGACCGGAATATCAGGAGCTCGGAGAGAAGGTAAAACAACGATAGTGCTCTGAATAAAATCTTTAAATTAGAGGGACAAAGGTTTAAAAATGTCAGGAAGTATTACTTTACTGAGAGGGTAGTGGATGCATGGAATAGCCTTCCAGCTGAAGTGGTAGAGGTTAACACAGTAAAGGAGTTTAAGCATGCGTGGGATAGGCATAAGGCTATCCTAACTATAAGATAAGGCCAGGGACTAATGAAAGTATTTAGAAAATTGGGCAGGCTAGATGGGACCAGACAGGGGTACCCATTGTCGCCGCTTCTCCTTGTGCTGGCAATGGAACCCCTGGCTGAAATGATTCGCAATTGTACAGAGATAGAGGGCATTGCAGTTGGGGGCAAAGAACATAAGATTGGTCTTTTTGCGGATGACATTATGCTGTTTTTGAAAAATCCCATGTTTTCGATTTTGCCTCTAATGTTAATCCTTTCTTACTATAAATTAAATACAAGTAAAACTCAAGCCCTTGCTTTCTTTGTCCCGTGGATTGAATTGGACACTCTAAAAAATAATAAAAAATTTGACTGGAGGGACTCTTACATCTCTTACTTAGGTATCAACTTAACAAAGATGCATGATTATATCCTGGGTAAGTTCTGGTCCACTTTTAGGAAAGACTTGGAGTGGTGGTGTGATTTCGAAATCTTCTGTATAGGAAGACTAAATTCTGTTAAAATGAATGTACTTCCGAAAATTTTGTATTTTATCAGAACTATCCCCCTCAGTATTCTTTTATCTTTTTTTAGAAGGGTTCAGTCTGCCCTTATGATGTTTTAGGTAGTAAAACCAGATAGAATCAAGCTGGCTATATTGCAAAAGCCCAGGGTTAGTGGAGGTATAAGCTTGCCAGATTTAATTAATTATTTTCACGCTACAACGCTGCAGCTGCCATCAAATTTAATCTAGATTCTGAATGCCCACACTGGCTTGAGATAGAGGCAGCCAAGATTCTTCCACATCTCATAAAAGAGGTTTTATGGCTGCCCCAACCTCAAAGACTGTGTTTAGCAAATATGTTTCTGAACACAAAAAATATAATTAATGCTTGGGATGTTTTGTACAGAAAACATAGACCCTCTTCATTGTGGTCCGGAGCATCTCCCATATCAGTGATGAAAATAGATATTCCCAATTTTAACACAGATAACTGGTCATCTCATTCAATCATGCATATTGAATATTTATTTAATTCTAACACACTTCTCTCCTTTTCTCAACAGAAATCTAAATATGATTTAATGCATGAGACAATGATTGACTCTGTGATTGATAGGTGTGGCCTTTCTAGACAGGGCCTAAGTGATTATAAACTAAACATGTCTCTCATTGAAAGAATCTATTTCTCGGACCCTGATCAGAAACGGACAATTTCCATATGCTATGGTTTGTTGGCTGGATTGGTGACACAAAAGTTTGAATTGATGACTAAATGTGAAAGTTAATTAGGTAAGGAATACGAGTTGAATGAATGGTTAGATTTTACATCAGCTTTAAGGGGCATTACACAAGGTGTGTCACATTTGGAATCCCACTACAAGATTCTATACAGATTGTATTTCACTCCCTCCAGGCTTTATAAGCTACAATGGTCACCTACCAACAAGTGTTGGAGAGAGTGTGGTCAGGTGGGTTCCTTATGACATATGTTGTGGACAGGCCTTAAACTGAAGTCTTAATGGGGTAACATTCTTATTTTGATTAGACTTATTGATGATACCATAATTACATTAACACCTGAACTATGCTTGTTCATAAAGATGCCTGATAATTTACCTAAAAATAAACGCATAATCCTAGGCCATATTCGAATTTCAGCCACTATGGCTCTTCTATGTCAGTGGAAGTCTCCTGTAGTTCCAGATATTAAGGAAGTTATTAAACAGATGAAAATATAAGATGTGAAATTGTGCTTAGGTTACCATCCCATACACTTAACCTTCTTAGATATGAATGGGATATCAAAGAAAAAGACATCAGACAGAAGTACAACTATTATTAAAGTGATGCCTTCACAGCCACCACTGCCACAACCACTATTAGTAATATTCAGCTTCAGCATAGTTTGATTACAAGCATGTTCTTTACATCTGATTCACAACCAGGAGGCTACTGTTATTTGTTTTTCCATCCTTTTCATGCTGCAAGATCTGCTGCTGCTGCTGCTTCCACTGGCATTTCAGCTCCTTCTTCCTCAGCTGGTTTAAGCAGTATAAAAGTACAAAAAAGGCCACAGTGGTAATGGCAATGTGTGCTCAAAACACTCCCGTGGGGGATCACCTTAACCCACACCTTAATAATTACAAAAACAAACACAAATTAGGGGTGGAGCACAATTCTCAATGATAACTGTTACAAACTGCCTTTTGTAACTGGTTCTTTATGTGACAAATTGCCCTGTTCCCCTGACTTATGGAGAAGCCTGATTGCCAGCCTCCTGCCTCATGACTATGGCCCCTGGGAAGTATTGCCATTTAAAAACACTATTTGGACTTATTGGTGTTTAAAAGACTGTTCTGGCCCTTTAAATGAAACTGGCTGCTTTGTCCCTCCTCAACCTCTCATCAGCCCGTGCTAAACTTTAACCCCATGGTGATTTTATTCTGTTCGTGGGATCTGAGCGCTGTTCGGATATATTAAGCTCTCAGATCCAAGCTATCTGGGGATAGGTTGAATGTGGGGGTTCTGTTCAGTGTAATGGGAATTATGTATTTTTGTGTATTTTTGATGCTGTTGTGAATGGAGATATTTTCTGTGCCTGGAGGTAATTGGCTTACCACACCCAGTTAAGCCAATTATTTCCAGGATAGAGGAGAAGATAGACTGGCTGCACAGCCCAACTCTGTGGAACTGGTTTGGGGCAGGAAAGCCATGCTTACAGTTGGTCAAATAGGACTTCCATCTAACTTTTGAACCACTGCACCAATTTGTATGATTTTGACATATGCTTGTATACTGGTTCAGAATATGTAAGTTTTATGTGAATGTGATGTATACTTTTAAAGTTATGAATATTGTCTAAAACTGTGTATTTTCCTGCCTGTGATAATTACATTAGCCCATTGTCTCATGTGTGGGGGAAAAGGCTGCATTTACACTGGGGGATTGCTATACTCTACATACTCCCCTAG